TCCAAATAAAACTAACAACTTGAACCCTCAAGTCGCCCTGTTCCTCTCTTGCCAGTAGAAGTAGCTTACCCTACTGAGAATAGGCTTCTTTGCTTAAAAACACTGTGATAACTTCACCTGGGACAGATGCTTTCAAAGGTGATGCCTAACACCCACCATGACCACTTCCATAATGAGCTTAAATCTCACTATTTTCTAAAGGAACAGGAAGACTCCCAAGGAAACAGCTTACACAGCCTCACGATTACTAATACAGATTTTTAAACAGATTTATTAAGATACAGTTCACATCATATAACTCATCTATTTAAAATGAAGAATACAATGCTTTTCAGTATATTCACAGATATCTACAACCATCACAACAGTCAATTTTAGAACATTTTTATCATCCCATAAAGAAACCTCATAAACGTTAGCTGTTAGCCACTGATCTTCCCCCTCCCCTTACCCCTTCAGCCCTGAGCGACCACTAATCTACTTCCTGTCTCCATAGATTTACCTGTTCTAGACATTTCATATGAATGGAATCATATATTATATAGTCTTTATGACTTGATTCTTTCACTTAGCATAATGTTTTTAAGATTCATCCAGGTTGTAGCATATATTAGTGCTTCATTCCTTTTCATAGCCAAATAATATTCCGCTGGATGGATATACCACCTTTTGTCGATTCATTTTCCCATGGAGACCATTTGGGTTGTTTCAATCTTTTGACTATTATCGATAATGCTCCAATAAACATTTGTATACAAGGTTTCTGTGTGGACATGCTTTCATTTCTCTTGGATATATACCAAGGAGTGATATTGCTGGGTCATGTGTTAACTTTACGTTTAATCGTCTGAGGAACTGCCAGACTGTTTTTCAAAGAAGTTGAACCATTTTATATTACCCCAGTAGCAATTATTTCCTCCCACGTATCAGTCATTTTTCACTTTCCTGATGGCATCCTCTGAAGCACAAACGTTTAAAATTTTAACATTGGTAAATTCCAATTTATCTATTTTTTTGTTGTTGATTATACTTTGGTGTCATACCTACAATCCTTTGACAAATCATGGTCATATCCCTCAGCCATGCTAGATTTACCACTGAGTTCATCAAAGGAATTCTTCATTTTTGGTATCCTATCTTTTTCTTGTAGCATCTCCGTTAGACTCTTTCTCATCATTTCTCTCTGCTAAAAATTATGACTCATCTGTTCATGCATGCTATCTACCTTTCCCACTAGATCCTTTAAATATATTAATCACAGTTATTTTAATGTCTCTATCTGACAGGGTTATATCTGAGTCTGATTCTGTTGATTACCTTACTTATTAACAGTGAGTTGTTTTCATTCTCTTTTGTGCCTTTTCATTTTTTTCATTGAATGCTGAACATTGCTCTACAATAGAAGAAGACAGCGATATGGTATGCGCACCGAAAATGGGAGTGCTGCTTCTTGTTTCAGGTCTTTATTGTGAGGAATTGAGTTGATCCATTCAGGAGTTCAGCTGGGTTTGGGTTTTTTTGTTGCTGTCCTTGCCTTCGGAGCCTCACAGGTGCAAATTCCTGTAGTGGTGCCTTGTGCTTGAGATGGAGCTGGGGTGCTGAAGGGTTTTCTCAGTGTTTGTACTCCACTCTTGGCTTTCTGGAACATAGAAAGTATCTCCCTCCATACTTTCTCTTCTTCTCCAGCTGTAGACTAGGCTTGGTGTGGGGGCAGGAGGGCTCTCTGTTGTTGTGGTCCAGCCTCAGTGTTCGGTATGTCTTGGGTGTGAGTTTGCCCCTTTCTGCAGTGGTAACTGATTTCCAGTTGGTATCAATATAAGATCTTGGGCCCTGGATCGTTCCTTGTCCATTCCTGAGGGTTATAGAATTTTTTCTTCTACCTTTTCTCCAGCCAGTGAGTTTTTACTTCTTGGGGGTAAAGAGAGTATTTCCTTTCTCTCAGTGGATTAGGAGAGAAAAATCTAAGAAAGTGAGCATGGCTTCATGTGTTTTTCCAGGAGGCAAGGATCACCGCAGGCTCTCCTGGGTCCTCTACTTGTACCCAGTCCTTCTCCTCAGCATCTAGTGCAGGCCTGAGGGGAGAGACCATGTAATGAAGTCATTTTGAAAAGCTATCACAAGTCTGAGGAAAAAATATTTCAGATAAATGCATGGTGTTTACATGGCATCACATATCTCTGAGAGCATGTGTATGACTTGCTGCCTCATTCATGCATTAGGTACCATGTGCCAGCAACAAGTCAATATCTTGTTTGTATATTACTTAGGCTCATGCTTTATACAAGAAATAAGATCAGCCTCAGGCCCTGTACAGTGCTAGAAAGAGAACTGTAGTAAACAGCCCCATCTTCAACAAATTGTTTTTAGAAAATTCCTGCATCATCAGAGGAAACCCCATATATCAGACCCTATTAGATGGAGGGACACACAGCACACACACACACACACACACTCTCTCTCTCTCTCTCTCTCTCTCTCCTCTCCTCTTCTCTCTCTCTCTCTCTGTCATTCTGTCTTTCAAGTTTCTTTTTGGCTACTTCTTTAATAGAAACATTTAAGGAAAAGCTCTGTGAACTACACACAAGAGCCACAGGCTATGTGACCCTGAGATCCCACAGAAATCACTACAGGGCCAAAAGATCACGTCTCAAAGGGCTATTCCTCAAACTTGTCAATAGGCACTGCTGCCTCCTTAGAGTCCCTAGAGGTCAAGAGAAAACTCCACAGGGACTGAAGTGTGACCTCAGACTGATCTGGAAGGCCTCCATCAGAAAACCTCTGGACTAGTAGGTCCAGGTTCCAGCCTTTGCTCTGCCAGCTGACTCGCAGCCTCACCTTGGGCAATCATAGACCCTCTTGGGTCCTCAGTTTACCCATCTGTAAAATGCTGGACTGGGTGAGCAGTTACCAATTATTATTTGGTTCAAGATCCCATTATTCAAATGAAATTCCTTAAAGAGCCCCAATGATAAAAAATGGAGTATACCTTATCGAAAATGGGGTTCAGAGGCCCATGCACCACCCTTGTTCTACTCCAAGGACCCCTAAGACTCTTAAGAATTGTTTATAAACTGCTAGGCCGGTTGAGCTCCCAATCCATGCAGGTGAACTGACTTCATGGAAACTCTCCATGACTCCAAATGACTCAATCCCAGCCATAACTCAGTGACTGCATCAACCTGTGACTTCACAAAACCTGACTTGGAACTCCATACTCCAAATAACCCAACTCCGGCCACTGACTCAGAATGACTACAAGGCCCTGTGACCACACATAATCTAATTCAGGGACCCCAATGTGAAACCATTCTAGTCACATTGTGAACAGAATGCGATTAACTGTTATTCAAACTGTACCATATCTGGCTGTTTATAAGGAAGCTCTTAATCTTCCTCTTATCCCCCGTTCTGCCTTCCCTGTGAATTCAGAAAAACCTAGAAGTTAATTCCAAACTTAAATGGTAAATGCAGGATAGTAAAGTCCACGCCTTTAGAGATGATCAAACTTAAATGGTAAATGCAGGATAGTAAAGTCCACACCTTTAGAGATCTTTATCTAAAACCCTGACACATGGAAAATGTCATCATCCTTGTCACTCCAGAAGGCTTAGCTATGCTGTTTACATGCATCACATCTGACTCTTGCCATCTTGTGAGGTGAGCATTACTGTTTCCCCATTGTGCAGCTGAGGAAAACTGAGGCTGAGTCACCAAGGAGAGCTGGGATTCAAGGCGGAGCCAGTGCTCACGGATAGGCTATGGGTGCTGAGATAGTTTGAGCACATTTCCTCACCCGTAAAACAGGATGACAATACTAATACCCTCATGGGTGGCTGGGGTGATTAAATAAAACAATGCATGGAAATGCCCTCAGCACAGTACCAGACAGGGGGTAACTCAATAAAGGCTGGGTTACAGACACTGCTTCCTAAAACCACAACACCAGTCTTTATAGAAAATAGGATTTATTTAAGGTGAACATCAACAAATGTTTCTAAAGTATATTATATACATAAAAAGTAGATTTAAGTTATCAAACACAGAAAAATCAAAGCCTACCAGGAAATACACGTTTATTTTCTCCTGAGCACACGGCACTCACAGGCCATTTCCTTTTCCACACAGGGATTCACATTGAGTAGGCACAGTTCGCAGTGGCTTTGTTCCCAGGTTCACCTGCTTCTACCCCCAGGGATTCTCCTCAGAAAACAACAGCAGCAAACTGACAGGATTCACAGTGGCTGGGATAAAAGGCCTCAGCCATGAGTCCCTTCACAAAGCCTTGATCATGTTTCCAGAGGCCATGCTCTGGAGTTCTGTGGCCTGGGCCAACAACTTAGGTCAGACCACAGCATGGGATAGTGTCACAGCTTCGTCTCCAGGCAATCTTGTTAATTAAATTATTCTAATTAGAAAGACACCATTAAACAGACACAAAACAGCATTTTTTGCAGCAACTGGCTTTCCTAGTTGGTCAAGGACAAGGCAGGAACCTGCACTGGATGCTAACCCATCACCACCCCCCAATGTCCAAGGCATAGGCGAACGTGGGCTGAATGATCACAACTGATGCGTGATGAGGAGTAGTGACTTGATGTCCAAGACAGGGGTCCAGAAACAGGGTCATGAGGAAAGGCGGGCCCGCGGAACAGGCTGGTGGGTACTGAGGAGGTCTGACATTCCTGAGAGGGCTTTCTCGAGCACATGGCCACGGTGGAGCAAGCACAGGCAACTCGACGGGGCAATTTGCTGGGAGCCCAAAGCAGCCACCTAGGTGAGTCGACACATGTGCAGCTGATGCCAGCCTAGTACGCTGGCCGCAGGGTGTTAGTTCAACTGGCCGCAGTCTGTGATGACAATCTTCTTAGATGTCTTCCCATTCTTGGAGCCAAAAGATTCTATTTTCTTCACAACATCCATGCCTTCTTTGACATGGCCAAACACCACATGTTTGCCATCCAACCTGTGAGAACAGGTGAGCCAGGTGAACAGAAACAAGAGTAGTGCAATGTCAACCAATGTCATGGTCACTTGCTCATGGAAATGCCCACCAAAAACAGCAATTCTGAAAGGAACTCACACTGAAAAGCTCGATCCACTCCCCAAAGCTCCCGATATCAAGCCTTGCTGAAGTCCCCAAAATACACATGAGGATGCCTCCTTTGAGGCATGTTCTGCCTTCTCCCTCACTGTGCGACTCTGCCTAGTAACCTCATCTACAAAAGTGAGTTATTCTTGTTCTGCTCAGGTTGATAATAGGATATTGAACTACACTGAAGAAAAAAAAGGTCCGTATAAATGGAACTATTTTAACAGTCATGAATTATGAGGTGAGGGCCAAGATAATAAGGGTGGTGAAACTATGTAAGTCTGGATCAGTTCTCAACTTGAGTTCCAAGAATCTAAAATGCAGCTTAGCACAGTGCCAGCAAGGCCAAGACTGGTTATAGCCAAGGGAAGAACTGCAGGATCCATTAGGGGTAAAGAGTGGGCAGAGCCAGCAACGACCTGCCCAACCCCGACATCTATGTTCCTTCTGGCTTGGAGGCTAGAGATGGCTAGTGTCCACCTACCACCCGGGTCTCCCTAAAGTCCTAAGAAATGAGCCTTAAGTCTTAGCTCCTAGCCAGCTGTTGTCCCCTCAACCCCAGATGTTCCAGGGCTGGGACCCGAGGGACTTTGGGCAGAGAAACTTACCCCTTAGTGGAATATTTATCAGGGAAGACATCCCTAAAACCCGTGGGCATGTGGGAAAGAGGTCTTTAAGGGCTGGTGGCTAGCTGCAGGCCTATGCTAACGCCTGATGAAAACTCTGGTGTGACATCCAAATGTCTACCACAGCGTTTCCCAAGGTGCATTCTGTGGTTGAGATAAGCCTGGGGAACAACAGGTTAAACCAGGCAAACGGGCTTCTACTACAGGCCATCTTGAGGACTGGTATGTCCGGCAGCATTTCCCAAAGGTAGTGAGTGAGTGAGTGAGTGAGTGAGTGTGAGTGTGTGTGTGTGTGTATGCGCGCACGCAGAACACACTGAGAAAATTCCAGCTACCAGCAACAACAGGAAGCCTAATTAAGACAGAGCAGCAAGAAGAACCCACAGTTCTCTCAGTCCTTTCAGGAACTTTCTCTCATATAGACACGCAGGCCTGGTGAGGGCTACAGTTCTAGAGCAGACAGTCTAGCCACAAACTACCTTTCCCTGAAAGCACACAAGCCCTCCTCCAGCTAAACGCGTAGAGGCCCAGGATCCAGAAGCGGGGAACTCACCAGTCTGTCTTTATGGTGCAAATGAAGAACTGGGAGCCATTGGTGTTTGGGCCTGCATTTGCCATGGACAGGACACCTATAAAGACAAGCAGGAGTGAGCCACGCTGACCCAGGAGGCATCTCACTCAAAAGAGCAGATGGCTCAAACTGCATCAAGGACATTCGAATCTGAAGATCCTAGAGCTCAGGAGAGAACCAGGGCCCAGCGGACGAGCAGTTTCCCAGGGTCTGTCCTCCGGAGCCACAGCAGGAAAGGGCCTTGTGGAAGCTCTTGCGGTAGAGCCGGAGTGGGACCCTGAGCACTAACTCTAGACTTTTCCACATTGTACCTTGGGTCTTAAATGTGACACAATGCTGGGGTTTTGCTTAAAGGCCCTCCCACCAAGTTCCCAAAGAATAGTTTGTTTTTAAACTGAGAGCTCAGAATGAAAAAGCTCTAGGAAAACCCAACATATCAACCTGAGTGCTTAAGGAAGACAGGCACAACATTATATATTGAATAATTCAGCAGTCCCCAATCTTTTCGGCACCTGGGACCGGTGCTCCTATGAGAATCTAATGCTTGATGATCTGAGGTGGAGCTGAGATGATGATGCTAGTGCTGGCGAGCGGCTGCAAATACAGATGAAGTTTTGCTCACTTGCCCCACTGTTAACCTCCTGCTGTGTAGCCTGGTTCCAAACAGTCCTGGCCCTGGGTTTGGGGACCCCTGGAGTAATTAATGACCAGACTGCAGCTTCCCTGGCCTGCTGGGCATGGCAGAAGCTGGGTCAAAACTCAGAGAACTCAGACCACAGAGTGGCAACCCCTCACTCACCTGGCCCCACGTGCTTCAGTGTGAAGTTCTCATCAGGAAAGCGGCTTCCGTAGATGGACTTCCCCCCTGTGCCATTGTGGTTGGTGAAGTCGCCAGCCTGCAAGCGCAGAGTACTTTCTGAGTGACTGCCACCCAGGGCTGGCAGGAGGGTGCTGCTGAACTGCTGGGGTCCCCCAATCCACCCAAGGCCCACCCTGACAGAAGCCCTTCAAGCAAAGCAGTCAAAAAACATCCAGTAACATAAGAACTACTAAAATAATAAGGAAAATAAACAAAAATAAAATAAAGTTTAAACATTTTCTGCCTGGTTTCCTAATCGTTCACTTTTTGTCTGAGCAAGTTTTTAAATGATCCTCAAAGATCTAATGGCCAATGACATGATTCTTAGTGACCCAGAGTTTTCTACCCACAACTCTGAAAAGATAAACAGAGAGGTGTCCAGGGGCTCCCATTTCCACATCTGCTTTGTGGGAAGCAGCAACAGCTGGCACAGAGCCGGTTCCCTATGCTGAGCCCCTTCCCTGTTCCGACATCGTCCCCTCACCAGGCCCAGTGGCTTCCCTCTGCCTTGCATTCCCAAGACAGAGTCCACCCAGGGCCGGCATCCTTCCTCAGGGCTCGCCTGATGCTTCCATGGCCAGAAGAGCCAGGTTGCCAGTCCCAGCGATGGCGATGTTGCAGTTTTCCTGAGACAGGATCTTCGGGTGACCTGACCAGCCTGGGTGAAACATCCACAAATGCTAATAAGATGTCCCTAAAGAGGGACAATTCAAAACCCTGGCACAGGGCCCATGGTGCCGCCACCTCATGCCTCAGAGCCCTCCAGCTTCGAAAGTCCCCACCCTTGCCTGCTGCTGTTCAGAAGAAGGCCCTAGCCCAGCTCAGGACACCTGCTTCAGCTCCTGCTACATCTACAGCCTCAGGCAGAGCTGGGAACTTCTGCAGCAGAAAGCTTGGCCACGCTTGTCCCACGCCACAGACTCCTTGTCCCTCCAGACACTCGCCACATTTGACACATCAGCAAGCCCAGGTCCAACTCACTGCTACTTACCACAATATGATGACAGTCATCAGGGCAGAGTAAGGGGGATGAGGGAGAGAATTCAGGCTAAAAGGACTACCCCTGCCTCTACATCTGCTGGCCTCAGGGTATGAACCCCTGACCCAGCAGGGGCTGACCTAACAGAGGACAACCCCCAATGTAGCTCGGGTCCTGACCCCTGGGGAAGTTCGTGCTGTCAACATCTACCCCAAACCTCTGACACAGCAATACTCATGCTTCTAACAAAGAGACAAGACCTATGACTAAAGAACATATTCATTGAACCAAGAGAGATGCTCTTCTCTGGAAAAAGAAGCTCCAGTCCAGACCTGTGTGTTCTTGTCTATACCCCATCTCTCTCTCTTTGCTGCTGCTGCTTCTCCAATGTCAAGTGTTCAGTGTAACAAAAGGGACACAGTCAGAGACACAGTCTGAATACACTGCTCCTCCAAAGCCTTAAGACCTACCCCCCATGCACAATCATACTCAATGCCAGTGCTCTTTCCACAGGTTCAACTTTCCCATTACAGCTGGGCAGGGCCGTCCTGCCACTTGCCCTGTTGCTTAACTTCTGGGGCAGGGAAGGGTTATGGCAGCCTAGACAAGCTCTATCTAGCCTTTCAGGGCAAGAGGATAGACCAAGAGAGTAATTATAGTTCAGTACTTTCCAGGCACCAGGCACATGCTCACTCATTAAATCTCATCACACCCCTGTGAAGTGGCCCCATTATTATCCTCACCTACAGAAGAGGAACCCAAGCACAGAGAGGGCCACAGTACCTGGCACATGAAGGATGGAATCACTCTGTGAAATGTGGAGCCTTTGTAGCCAAAGCCCTTCTCCCCGGTACACAGGGCTCGGAAGTTCTCTGAGGGTGGAAAGAAGGAGGTCAAAAGAGCCAGGCCTCAACTCCAGGAGCCACACCTTGTTCCAGCCAGAATCCCTTCTAATCCCTCAGGTAAGCAGGCCGTGGAAGACCCCAGGTCTGCCCCCCGGGTCTGCTCTGCCTGTGTAACCTGGGACAAGTCACATTCTCTGACATCAGTGGCAGAGCATACACTCCTGGTTGTTCCACTACCAAGTCAGTGGACAGGGAATCCAAAGGCTGCAAACCACCATTCTGCCACATCAGGAAGCAGGAGGGAGGAAGCTGTCTCAGGGAAATTTACATGTGCCTTCTACTGATACTGAGGCAGCCACCAGACTGGTGGGCAGGGCCAACACTCAGGCCCAGAGAGGGACAGAAAACTGCCCCAGTGCAGCCAGTGGCTGAGCCATACACAGAACTCCCATTTGGTCCCAGGTCTCCTTGCCCAGACTTCTCTTGCCAGCCCACCCACCTTGCCTTGCCCCTTTCTCTTCTACCTAGACCAGATTCAGGAAGCCCCAGGCACTGACTTACCTGCTGTCTTTGGGACAACATCGGCCTTCAGCTGTGGGGAGAGAAGAAGGCCAAGAGAAGATGGTCAGTCCAGAAGCAGGGGAAGGAAATTTCTCACCACTCAACCTCCACAGTGGCCAAGAAGACTGAGAAAACACCAGGCGCCATTCCATTCCTGTTACTCCCAGCGCTACTTAGGAGGCAGCCTAAGCAGCTATCATTTCTGCCAGCTGCTTCCAAATGAACCCAAGGCTGGGAGGAGACAGCCTTGGTTTCCCTACCTGTCAGAAGAGTTCACAGTGTCATCCTGGCCTACTTCCCTAGGCAGAACTATCAAAGCTACTACAGCTGAGCCCAAAGCATCAGACTCAGGGCCTGGAGAGGGCCCGGGAAGGAGTCAGTCCAAGCTCCTCAATGTGCAGATGAGAAACTGAGGCTCAGAGACAGACAGTATGAGTAGCAGTAAGGAGAGGCTGGAGCCCCATCCAAGTTGGCCTTTTGCCTCCCAACTTCAAAAGCCGCCTTAGCACCAAAAAATTAAAACAGACAGGAGCAGGGAGGCATGTTCCAGAAGAGGAAACAGGCTTAACTGAGGCTCCTTCATGCAAAAGAGTGCCGAGCTTGAAGGCTACACAGAGCTTCCTCTCTCTGTTATTTTCTGGACTATTTGCTTCTTGCTTTGTCTTTTTAAAAAATGGCCCAAAGAGTCAGGGGCAAGAATTGAGTGTGCCCCTGAGCGGGTGGCTGGGTTTTGAGTTGGGGTGATGGGCTCCAGGCACACTGCCCAGACTCCGAGGGCCATCCTGGGGTCCACCTGGTGGCTGCAGCCAGCTGCCTGCCTAGATCGCACTGCGGTGAGGCAGCGGGTCCCAAAATACCTTTGCGCCGGGAGATAGGCCCGAAGGCGAAAGGTGGGCGGGGCGAGGGGAGGAGTGCGGCCCCGCTCCGCCTCACGCAAAGGCGGCCACGTGAGCGCCCAGCCCCGCCTAACCGTCCGGACTCGGATCCCGACCTCCACCTCGGAGCTGGGTCTAGCCTCCAACCCCATGAGGTCACGGAGCCTCTTGCCCACCCTGAGCCGGCCAGTGGGCCAGGCCCTCACCGTCTTCGATCTGACCTTGAGCCTTCTCCTCCACACGTGCCTCCCCGCCTCCACTGCGCCAAAGTTCGGAGGGATACCGGCAGCGACCAATCCGACGCCTCTTTATAGACAGGGAAACTGAGGCCCAGAGCCCAGGAGCGAGAGGCAAGGTCACTCAGAGAGCCAGGCACAGCGCCGGAACGAGGTCCAGGGCTTTCCCGGGGTCGCCCCTCACGCCCAGTTCAGCGCGGTGCAATCCAGCGGTCTCACCTCTAGCACCACGCGGCCGAGCGGCTCCCCGTCGGCGCCCACGTCCAGGTACACTAGCGGGTTCCCAGCAGAAGAGGACGGGTCCCGGCCGCTGCTGCCGCTGTAGGCGCGGGCCGCGGAGAAGCGCAGCGGCAAGGAGCGCGGGACCGAAAGCAGGCCGAGCAGGCGGGGGCCGCAGCGCAGCGCCAGCATCACGGCGCGGGTCGGGTCGGGGCACGAGACCAACGGTGCTAGAGGGGGAAATAAAAGAAGCGAAGGTCACGCGCGCCCAGAGGGTCGAGTCTGCCGCTGCCGCGCGCCGCCGCTTTTATTGGTCTGGCAGTTCTCGCGGCCCCGCCCCCGCCCCGCCCCCTTCGAACCGGTCCTCGGGCGACCTCTGCCGGCAGGGCGTTGGAGCGTGAAGTCCTTTGAATTTCACCAGTGCCAGAGATCTGAGCGACAGGCACGACCTCGCAAAAGAAGGCCGGTTCCAGGTTGTGAGGGTCCCAATAGATGAAATTTTTAGAAAGGGGAAAAAAATGTTAAAACGTGGTTAATTCCAAAATATGGGCATCTGTATGTTTTTATTTGAATATAACAAAAGTGTTTGAGCCCTTTATATAGACCACCCCTCCCCCCGACAGGACCCGCAGACAGAGACCAAGAGAGAAGGTGGCACTAAGAGTCGAAGAAAGTTGAAGATGAGAGGTGGGATTAGAGTGAGGGGAGGCAGGAGGAGACAGGCAGAGACACCTCTCCTAATGACCACAGGTTTGTCCTAGCTTAGGCTTGTTTGCAGATTCTCTTCTTGCAAGACTGGAAACTCTGCCTGGGCCTGTCATGCTCCCACAGGCCCTCAGCCCTCCACCAGAACTGAGTCTGACTTCCCCTCCTCGACCCCACAGACTGACAGGCCTGGTGCAACCAGGGCAGCCGCTACCGGCTCCCCTCCCACCCCCACTCACCTGAAACAGACCTCCCATGGACTGCACCTAATCTGCAGATAACACAGCACAGAGGCCATTACATAGGGAGTGCAAGGAAAAGTGAAAAAGGAAGACAGGAATAGAAAGAGAACTGAGTAGGATCCACAGGAAGGGGGATTTACCCCACATGCTGAGGTGGGCTTCACAGAAGTGGGAGGTATGGGAGGCCCAAAGTAAGTGAATAACAATCAGGGGTCCTGAGAGAGTATGTAGACCAACACCTGCACCCTCCAGATGGGAAATTGAGACCCAGAGAGAGGAAGGCACTGTCCAGTGCTAGGAGAATCCTGGAATCCCTGTGCCAGGCCTCTCTGGACCTCAGTTTCCCCTCTGGGCCTCAGTTTCCCCTCTGGAGAATAAGAGTGTGATGATAATCCTTTCCCTGCTTTTTTTTCCCAAGTATGTTCCAAGGATTAAATGAACAGGAGAGAGGAATTTGTCAACTGTTAAATACTATGCCATGAGCATCAGTGATAGACAGAGTCTAAACAGTCTTTGCTCAGGGTTTGGGGCTCAGACAGCAGTGGGTCTCAGCTGCAGAGGCTCAGAGGTCTCAGGGGCCAGAGAAGGGGGTGGTGGCTGGGCCTTGGAGTCAGGTGGACGTAAAATGGGACCACCTCTGGGCTTTTCTGCCCAGACTGAATCGGTTCCTAGGAAGGAACTGGACAGCAAAATGCTGGCCCAAGAAAATTCATGAAGTCAGAGCAGAGTGTGTTAGCCTCATGAGAATGCTGATTTGGCCCTTTTCTGCAAGTTCACGGGTTCCTTTTCTGTATTTCTGGCCTAGGAGAGGCTCGTCACTCAGTGAAGCCCCAGCTGCATCCTGGAGCCCATTTTGTCCCCAGGTCCAGCTCAGGATGGGGCCTCACTCTTAAAAAAAAAGAATGGCTCCCTTTCTTATAATTGTGCCTTGAAAGAGAACAGGCCTGAGTGGGGAGCAAGCTTACCTCCTGCTCCATCTGGACCTTCCACACATCTCCCAGATCCCCCCGTATCAGAGCATACTGTAGATTTGAAAGAAGAAGAGAGGAATCACCCTACCCATCACCCTACACAATTCCAGGCCCTCAGCTTACACAGCCTTTAGCCATGCCAAATGGATCAGTGGTACCCTATTGTCCCTCAAGGAAGTTCTTGGAGGGCCTCAGTTTATCCCTCACCCTGCTGAAGTATGAACAGCCCTACCCAAGAAAAGCTGCCTTCATTCACTTAACCACTTTAGTTCTCAAAGCCTTTCCCCTTAGCCCGCCCATCTGCTCTCTACTACAGCCTAGGCAGTTTCATTTTACAGATGGGGAAGCAAGGTCCCAAGAGTTGGGGGAGTATTGGAGCTGGGAGGGGTCTATCTGACTCCAAGATCAGGGATCATTGCATATGTCCAGCCCTCTCAGTGTCATCAAAGAGCTGATTATTGAGACAGGGTAGAAAGGGTAAGAGAGACAAGCCTTGAACAGACAGCATAGTAAGATGGAAACTGAGGAGTTAGGCTGGGGGCTGTGGAGGATGGGAACCAGGGAGATGTCTTCCTAGCGGGGTTAGCCTGGAGACAGCTGCATTTGAGGGGCAGAGACACAAAGATGTAGAGAGGAGATTCCAGAGGGGGAATGAGCCAAAGCCAGCCCAGATCTGGGAGAGGTCAGGGAACCTTCAAGGAAAAGCTGCGACATTGACCGTGAGCTGAAAGGCTTTAGGTGGGTCGGGGAGGGTGCTGGCAATCACAGAAGGCCCTGAAGGCTAGGCTGAGGTCTAACATTATTGGATAGAACTGGGAATCCATTAATGGTACAATGTCTTCATCCCTAGGACCTTGGACTGAGAAGCAGCCTCCTTTACTCATGTTACTCCTTCTACCCTGTTTGGAAAATCAAGCATCATCACTACCTTCCTGCCTAAGCCAGAGAAAAGTTCCACTTCCCTTACAGATTCAGCTGTGAAGTCATCTCTACCTGTACTGTCATCAGTGGCATCAGGAATAGGGACAGTTTCTAGGCTGAGCTATGAACTGAAATATGTCCAGCCCTTGAAGACTTCTGGCCCAGGTGAGACCAGGCAGGTGTCAGCACTCATCTGGCTCTGAGACTATTTATAGAAGCTGTGTCATCCTCAGGAACAACAGTTACTGTATCACTCATCCCAAGAGGCTTCTTATTCACAGTGTTAATAGTTTTCATCACCTGGGGATCCTGTAACACCAGTCTTTAGACCTCACATGGCCAAAGAACAGTCAGGTCATGCTGGGCTCAGAGATGGCATTCAGGAATTGCAAACTCAGATGCCTCTGGGGGTCTGCAGGTGACATACCTAAATGGAGCATTCTGGGTATGGCTCTGGTGAGTAAGGGAAGTGCCACTGTGTCCAGGCACCCCAACTAAAGGATCAGCTACTGCCCAGACCAGCCAATTACTGTATGTGAGACTATGGGTCTACTATAGCCAAGTCTCCTAATTTTTCAATAAAAGCTAAAAACTTTAGGTTTTATGGAAATCTCTCAATTTTTAAGTGCTGGGAATGAATTTTAAAATAAAATTAAAACACTGAAAGAGCCAGAAACAACATATTCACAACCTAGATGGGGCTTCTGACCTAGTGGTTTGCACGCTCTAATCTCCAACTGTACACGTGAAAGAACTGAAGCTCAGAGGACAGGGACTTGCCCATGGTCACACAGCTGGAAAGAACTGGGACTGTAGTCAGACTCCCCTCTTCACTCTCACTAGGGCCCTTTCCACAAGATTCACTCAGCAGACATGTTTTCAAAGTACCTACTATGCGCCGGGCTTGAGCTTTACCCTAGGGATACAGAAGGACAAGGACGGGGACAGGCAGTTACAGTGCAGCATCATTATAAGTGCTGCTGAATATGCCTCTGCCAGGCAGCCCATGAGCTCTGCAGGGGTGAATGTTGTGTTTGTCTTGGGCTTGAAGTTCTGGGTGCCCTGGAGAGCCTTTCAGGAAGAACCAGGGGTGGGCATGGAGTGGGGTTTACATGAATGATCATTGCCAGCATCAGTCACTGGGACACTGTGCCTTAGGTAGAAAGAGGTCTTGGACTTCATTTCTCTTGGTTCTATTTGAGGAGATTTAGGGGTCCAGGAGAGCATCTATCATGAGCATCTGACAGGGAACCCGGAAGAGCTCAGAAATCAGCCAGAGTCTCTGAACAAGTCAGTGTGATTGCTGCACGCTCGGGGGTGTCCCGCATGGCATTCCTAGCTTTCATGAAGTCAGTATGAAGGCATCAGCTTCCCTTTGTAGCTTCTAGGAACCACAGTCCTGAGCATGCTCTGAATAGAGCACAGTGGGAGGCAGGGAGAGGCAGGCAGGGGAGATTTCCCTCAAGGCCCAGGGTGGTGGTGGGCACACTGGCCAGAGGAAGGTCTGGGGAAACTCCCAGAGTCCAGCTGGGCTTTAACAGTCAATTGCATGGGCCCCTGGATGAGACAGCTACCAGGACAGGGTAGGGCTCACCCCCTAGCCACCTGGCTCTTGTACAGCCTACCTGGTCACAGAGTGGAGTGGAAGAAGCTAGCCTCTGGGTATATCTGCTGTCCACTGTGATCCAGACAGTACTGGGGGCTGAAGAAAGCTTCCTGAGAAGGTGCCACCAACGGGGAGAGTTCGAAAAGACTGTGGCAATAGTCCCTGGGGAAAGCACAGGTCCTGGAAGTATGGGTTTTGGAGTCAGGAAGAACTCAGCTGGAGACCTGGGTTCCCATTTCATTCATTTACTCATTTGTTCATTTAATCCACAGCTATTATCTACATCCCTGCAGTGTGCCTGACACCTTTCTAGACACTGGAAATATGGTGGTCATTAGACAAAAAAAGTAAACTTACAGTCTCATGGGAAAGAGAGAAGAAAACAAAAAAAAAGAAAAGAAAGAAAAGTGATTTCAGATACTTGTATGTGAGTCATACAAGTGAAGCCAGGTGGTGTGCTGTAAAGTGACTGGAGTAAAGGGGCCACTTATGAGTGGGGTCCGTGCATCCTGACCCAAGAAGGAAACACTTGGTCCAAATGACATGTGGGTGTGAGCTCAGATACCTCGTTTTGGGCTTCTTTGAGCCTCAGTTTTCCTATCTGTAAAGAGAGGTTAATGATGCTTATGTCACAGAATTGTTCATATTAAGGAGAATGACATGGTAAAGGGCTTTGAACATCCTAGGGCCTTAGTGAATGAATGAATGGATGAATGAATGAGTGTCACCAAGCTGAGACCTGTTAAGGAGTCAGAGTCAGGGTGGGAAGAGTGATTTTGAGTAATTGATATTGTGCCCCGTGAACGTGAGCCCTGAGGTACACCCCTGTGGGAATTTTATGGGTGGTTTTTACTATTGTTCACCCAAGACTTCTCTTAATAATATAATAATGCCATCCTTACACCTACTGGTGTGTACTATTTGGAGGCTTCCTGAAGTTTCTTCACAGCCACCAACACCTTTTGATCCACAGCCTGTGAAGTCAGTCAAGCTGATGGCTTGACTGCACCTTCTTCAGAGACCTTGAGCCAGAGACACCAGCTAAACGACACCCAGACATCTGATCCACAGAAACTGAGAGATAATAAATGTTTGTTGTTTTAAGCCCCTTACTGTTGAGGTCATTTGCTCTGTTGCAATAGATAACTGATGCGAGCACATCCTGCCCTCGGCTAGACCCTTTAAAGGCCAACTCCCATCCCATTGCTGTACACGCAGCCTGTCAATGATCTGCCATCTCAGCTGGCTTGTGTCACCAGCCACTGTTGGTAAAGCCCTCTTGAGCACAGTCAGGGATAACTGGCCCTGAGAGATGGGGCTGATCGGTCTTGGTGAAGATATGGAATGGGCTCTTTTTGTCTCATTCCTCTGAAGGTGAATGTATGGATCCTGAGAGAGAGAAGCAGCTGGGAGGAAGTGTTCTGCAGGAGGGCCTGAGTTGGGGTAGCTGGGGTTTGGCCATGGCATCTCAGTGTCCCCTGGGAAGGTATTGCACCTCATGTTACGACTCCATGCCAGGCTCTGCACTAAGCACTTTTGGAGATGTCACCCCAGTCAATACTCAGGAGGACCCCACCAAGTAGAGACAGTTATCGCTGTCTTACAAATGAAGGAATGGAGGCCCAGAGAGGATATGCAATTTGCCCAGGGTTATTCTAGTGTGAAGTGGAGACTGAATTCTTTCCAATTCCCCTTGGCTGTGTCTGTTTTCAGGAATCAGTGGTCTCCAAGTGAAGCTTTTTATCTGGGCTATGCCAGAGATCGTCCCCGCCCCAAGCAGCCTTTTTTCCAGCTAATCTGACACAGTGCTTGATGACTTAGATCTTCAATCCCATCTAGTCCTGTAATAACTCTAAGGGAGAGGCTGTGGACCCCCATGTAATGGATGATGGCTCTGAGGCTGAGAGGGAGCCCACAACTTGCCCAAAGCCCACACAGATACCAGGTGGCTGAGCTGTATTTGAACTCAGGTCTGGCTGACTCCAAAGCCTGGCTGGGCCTTCTTGCCATAGAGAATCTACCATTGGCTTCTAGGCCTGCAGGAATGGCATTCACTAGTACAGGTGAGCAACATATAAACACTGAACTTATTTACACAGTTCCTGCCCAGAGTCAATAGAAAAAGGATCTGGTGGGCAGGACTCAAGAGGTTCTCAAGGACGGCCTGAGTTAGACTTTGTGCATGTCCCATCTGCAACTCTGTTAACTGGTACTGATTAGTGTCATCATCCTAAGGAGAGGTCCGCACTACTAGGTTCCCTAGGAGTGGGGCTTGAACCTTTGCCAAGACTAAAATGCTACCTGGACAGACCTTATCTGAGCTCTGGGCTCTCTGCCCTGTGGTTGCAGGAAGAAAACAGCCTGCTATTCTGCAGTCTCCTTTCCCTTTTTTGATCTGTTTCTCCTGTTGACCTGTGTAATTTTCTCGAATCTATTGGCTCGACCCTCTTAATCTCTACTTACCAATATTGATGCTTCTCCCTCATTTATTAGAATAAATCCCTTTCTAATCGACATTGTCTACCTTCTAATTGATATTGCCCACCACCGATGGCAAGTGTTTGTGTTTTATTCCAATTAAAATAAGTGCTCCAGTCTTAGACACTTGATAATAAGAAAAATAGCTGTCATTCATTGCACACTCAATAAACTGCACATGGTAAGAATTTACAACCTTATTGCTTAATCCTCACATGGCCCTTAAGAACAGGTACTAGTGTTAACTGCTCTTTATAAATGAGGTCTCCAAAGCTGACAGAAGGTATGTAGACTATCTAAAGTTACACGTGCCTTCCCTTGCATTAAGTGGCTAAGTAGCTTGTATTTGGCTCAACTCTTTCTAATCCCGGAACTTGGCTCCTCTGTCACTACTGTTGCTGACTTTTAGTACAAAAGGCCAGCAGGTACAGGTCAGACTGGGAGAGGCCTCAGTTTATGTAAAAAAGATCTCAGATTTTAGGTGAGCAGAGGCCAGAAAATTGATCTATTCACAGACTGCATTCCCAAGACAGCGTGTCTATGTCACAGGCCTTGGTGCTGGGTTAGTTTGAGCGCATCAGGAGATCATGGTGTAGGCCTCAGCTGCTCGTGGACAAGCCCAGCAAATGCAGTAGAAGGTGCAGCCAGAAGGGAAGCAGGGGCCCCTGTGATTCAAAGATGTGTGGAGCAGTTCTAACAATTCTGTTCCCCAGAGATGGGGGGAGAGGCGGACGATATGCCATCTCCAGGATGATGGGGACCTGTCATGGCAGAGAGAACAGTGGGGCTCCATAGACCCAAAACAGGACCAACAGGAGCTGGACTGGGCTTATTTAGACAAGAAATTTCTATCAATCAGTGACCTCACATAACGATGCTTTAAAGTAGTAAGCTCCCCATGACTAGACATGTATAAGAAACACCAAACAGAGATGCCATAGAGAGGCTTTCTACTTGGGTGGATGATTGAGCCAAGTGACCCATGAAGTTCCTTCCAGTTCTGATACTCTGATTTAGTCCCCTTAGGTCCAGGCAGCTCAGAGTTGCAGAAAGAGCAGCGCACAAACTCAGCCTTTTATTGGCATATCGGTGAATGAAATGCAACATGAAACCATAACAGCCAGAAGAGAATACTGGTATATGGCTACTGGTTTCAAAATGGTCAAAAGAGTTTGAAGTATAGGAGTTCCAGTCAAGATGGTGGAGTAGGTGACTTAGAAGTGTGTGGTAGCCAGCTTCCAAAATGGGTCTCAATGATACCCATCTCCTAGAATTCATGCTGCTGAGTAGTCTCTTCCCATATTGTACCCATACTATAAACAACAGAATAAGAGTGATGGTACATCACTTCTGAGATTAGGTTATGAAAGATACTGTTGGTTCTGTCTTGCTTACTTTCTATCTAGAATCACTCACTCAGGGGGATGCCAGCTGCCATGTCAAGAGAAGCGCGATGGAGAGACCCATGTGACAAGAAAATGAGGTCCCCAGTCAACATCCAGCCATGTGAGAG